TAGGAATAATTATCGGATGGCTCTGCAGCTGATGGGGTTTTATTGCTTAACTTTAAGCAATAAAGTTTAAATAACTGCTTATTTAAGTGCAGGCTGAGGAGATGGGACCGTGCTGTAGGTTGATTTTTGGATGCTGATGTCCAACAGCAGGCACCTGTATTCCCCAATTTGTGCTCTGCTGTCCTAAACACCGGCAGAGACGTTGTTGGGGGGGGGTAACTGGTTGTTTTTCTGCCTTCACCCCTTTTAAGTAAATGATCGTCACTTTTTCCTGATACCACAGCAGCAGGCGGTCTGCCCAACTAAAAACTTTGTCGCTCATTTGCCCCCCATCCCTTGAGGTCCATGTCTGCGAAGTGCAAGGAGAAGAGAGGCTCTAAAAGATTCATCAGCAGGGAATGGTGGATGTGCCGTGGAGAGTACTGGGAAATGGACCGTCTCTTCAGAGCTCAGTACTCATCCAGGACAGCCTCCTCTGTGGAGGAGGAAGCCACCATGCGCTCCCTGCACACTTCTCTGCCAGACAGTGAGCGATGACACGGGCCCTCACGAGGTCAATGTGTTGCGTGCGGTGCACAAGCAAGATCCGGAGCCCAGAGGAGTGCTGAAGCCTGGCCCAAGGCTTCGTGGCATGACCCTGGCACCTGGCTGCTAGGGAGCAGTGCAGCTGCTCAGGAGAACGTTGTTATCTGCTTACAGGGCCAAGGATGTGCATCCCCATTCATTTGGGGAACAAAGGCACAATTTTGGCCCCAGGAACATGGACAGTCCGGAGCGGATTGTTCCTGTGCATAGATAAATAACCATTTTGTTCCTCCGTTCCTTTTCTCAGCCGTGTCATTCCTGCCCGCTCTCCTTGTCTTTCCTGAGCCAGGTCTGCTCCACATCTCTGGTTTGCATTCCAGGGTCTTTATTTCTGTCTGTCTCAGACCTGAAGCTGCCCTGGAAGGCTCTTAAGTGCTTCTGTTGCTGCAGTTGGCAGGAGCAAAGCCTTCCAGGCTGCATTAGTGCTGCTCCAGGCTGGCAGGCAACAGATGGAAAATAAACTAGTTCCGGAGCTCTGGGGATGGTGATGGTGCTGCAGGCAGCAGAGAGTAAACACGGTTAAACAGCAGAATGCAGAGTGGTTATCCGTGCAGCTTCAGGCTTCTCCGGGGGTGGCAGGGCAAGCTGCCCCAAACAGGGGGTCACAGGGGATGTGCCACAGGCTGGCTGGCTGTGAGGTGGCCTGGACAGAGACTTGCTCCATGTCTCTTCTCCTTTCTCACCACCGTGGAGCTCTCTCGTTCTGCCTCCAAGTTGTCCCTTTCTCTTCAGTGCTGAGTGCTGCGGAGTGGAAACGACTAGGAGCATCTAGAGCCATTCTGAGACAGCTCCAAGGGAAACCTTGCATTTCAGTGGTGTTTTCCACTGGATGATCTCCGGGTGGGGTTTGCAGAAGGGGAAACCGAGGCACAGGGTGGCTGGGATCTCGCAGAAGTTTCTGAAGAAGACTATGGGATTTGTGGCTCCTCAGTGTATGGCCAAATGAGTGGGCAGAGCAAGGGGCTGTCCCTCCAGTCTTGAGGCTGGAGACTTGGAGGGGAACCTGACTAGGTCAGGGCAGTTGCGCGCGGTGATGCTGGCGTGGATCTCAGTGCAGGTGTAAGTTAAGTTGCTTTCTGCGGAGTTACAAGAGCCCAGTTCATTTCCTTTATGGTTTTGTAACGTGGATAGTCACGTATTTGAGTGCTTTTGTTTCACTGCACGTCAGGTAATTACAGAAATCACCATCTCCAGGTGCTCTGAATATCTGCAAGTTTAGGAATAACTATCTGGAAAAAGTTGGAAATTTTTCTGACAAAAAGACTTTGAGGCTGACACTGAGCAAATGGTCCAGTTGGAGTTACTCAGCCAGATGTAATTTTAATATGCTCATGCCAACAGTTCCTGGACACTGATCCCTATTGTAAATAGCACAAAATCCTGCCAAGGGGTGTTAGTCTTTCGATTTGATGGCTGTTTGTGTGCTGGAAAGAATGCAAATTGAAGCTGAGAGGGGCCAGAGGGAATTTTTGCAGAAGATGGGAATGAATTCTCACTTGCCTCTTCTTCCCGAACTAGGAGCTGGCACTGAAGTCCTTGGGGAATGAGGGGCTGTTTCTCTTTTCTTCTCTGGACACAAACAATGATCTGTACCTCAGTCCGGAGGAGTTCAAGCCGATAGCTGAGAAGCTGACGGGTGGGTATCTGTCTGCCTTGCAGAGCTCTGCACAAACCCAGCAAACGCCAAAGATAACACACTCAACAGTTTTTATTCGTGTCTTATTTTTTTCTGGGTGCTCTTTTGGGTCTCATTTCCATGAAGGGAGGCTGCTAAGCTTTGCATGTTTTTGAAAAGGCTTAAGCACTAGACATCACTTTCACAAAGTAGAGTTTTTATAAGACTGAAGATCCCATTGCTGGACTAGCAAAGTACATAAGTTACTTTGTCTGGAGCTTAAAGGGGATTTGGGATGGGTGAATGCAACAAATACAGCTCAGCCCAGGCCGGGCCAAAGCTATTAGTGAGTCGCAGCAATTCATTCATGCGCTCCTCCGGCTGGAACAGTCTCTCTCAGATAGCAATTGGGAGAGATGGTGTTTGGAGACCGCATCGGCGTGTGGCAAGTGTCTCCTGGTGGTGCCAAGCAGGAAGAAGCCTGGTGATGACAATGCACGGGAGAGCTCCCGGCGCAGTGGAGATGCAGACAGCTGTTTGCTTGTGCTGTAACGAGTTGGCTCAAGTGTGTGTTCTGCTCCCTCCTTGGTGAAATGAGGCTGCTGAACTGAGCCCTGGGCTTTGGAGGGTCCTCCGCTAAAAGGAGGGCTCCCCTTTAATCCGTGCAGCCCAAGCAGGTCTCCAGGGTGGGTCTGAGTTCTGCGGCTGCACACAGTGTAAGAACAGCTGGGCCAGGATAAATGTGTAATCACTTCACAATTGCTTAAAAGGGAAGGGAGGGGAAACAGCTGCTTAAATTCCTGTCCCTTTGTCTAGGGGTTGCTCCCGTCTCAGAATTTGAAGAGGAGGAGACGCCTGATGCAAGCGGGGAGACGTTGTCCCTTGTGGCTAAATTCCAGCCTTTGGTCATGGAAACAATGACGAAGAGCAAAGACGGTTTCTTGGGTGTAGGTATCACGCAGGATATGTATGGCCAGAAATTCCAGTACAAACACACCCAGTGGGTTAGTAACATCACCAGGAATAAGTGCTAGCCCGTTAGGAGGGGGAGGTGGTCTTGCTGAAGCCTGTGGGGTTTGCTCTGAGAGCGAGCTCGCTGCTTTCTGCAGCTTTCATTGCTCTCAGCATGCTCAGCAGCACTGTGCCCCAGTTAACACGCCATGCCTGGGCAGCTTGAAGCAGGCATTGGGGATGGCACTCCTGGAGCTAATTCCAAAAGCAGTGGTGGTACGTGATCTGTGCCACTCTCTCCCATTTCCTAGTACTCACAGAATTGAAAGTTGACAGAACTCCTTGGTGGTGTTTTGGGTGGTAGGAAGAATTTAAAACGTGATTTTTTTTTTTTTCCTCTTCTCCAAAGCCTACTCGGATGCACCAGCACTACTGCACGTTTGAAGCGTCCGATTTAGGTGCTGATAGTGTCTTTCATTCACAGATTTCTCACGTCGCCCTGTCTGGGCTGAGGAACTGGACTGCCCCAGCAGCCCCTATGAGTGTGATGCTTGCCAGACAGTTTAAAGCCTTTCTTCCTCCAAAGAACAAACTGGATCTTGGGGATCCATGGTGGATAATTCCTAGTGAATTGAACATCTTCACTGGCTATCTTTCCAACAACAGATTTTACCCTCCACTTCCCAAGGGCAAAGAGGTGAGATACGAAACTTAATTTCTGTATTCCTGAGAGGTAGTTTGGATAAATGTTCTGCCTTAGCCCAGATGAATTGCAGGAGTCCCTAGAGCAGACGAGGCTGTTGCATTATATCTCCCTGGACTTTCTAAGGGAGCAAAAAGGCTGCAGCTTACAGCCAGGAGCACCGTCTCCGAAATTGGAGGTAAAACTGAGAGCAGGCAAAAGCCCTGGGTGTCTGTCATGGCCAGGCGAGGCTGGCTTGAAATGTTGCTTTGTTTAATTGTTTGGGGTTTTAGGCTCATCTTTCTCAGGCAGGGAGGGGAAAGGGTTTATTCAGCAAGCACTTGTATGGAGTGACTGTGCCATGTGGGACAGTTGCCAGGTGCCACCCCGGAGGTGACCGTTTCATTGACAAGTGGAACACCACGTGTACGTGGTTGGTAAAGCCAGGCGTGTGTAGCGTTCTCCCCCGGGCGCCCGGGTGGGTGTTAGTGATCGCATAGCTGATAGGCCTCTGCAGCCCGCTGTGTTCATTGATCACATACCCACTCTTTCAAAGCCTTAAGTAGTATTGATGGAGGCAGCCTCCTAGATCAGTTTGCTGTGCTCAGACATTCAACCAGCTGGGATGATGGAAACTTGCAAACAATGGGAATAGCGTAGAAAGCGTGGAAAACAGTTTTATTTTTAAAAGCAGTCTCTTGCTTTATCTCCTTGTTTTGTGATTAGGTTGGTCTCTGAGCTAATTTTTAAGTCACAGCAGTTCTCTTGCCTTCCTGATCTGGTGGGGAGTTACTTTGGAGCTGCAGCTGGCCTGCAGGGGAG